GGGGCGGGGGGGGACCGGGGGGGGGGGCCCGGGGCGGGGGGGGGGCAGCACCGCACCGGCGGCGGGCCCGAGCACCGCACCGGGGGTGCCGGGGTCCGGGCCGGGAGCCGCCCCGGGAGCCGTCGGTGCCCGGGGGAGCGGCGGGGCTGCCGCCGTGCTGGGGAGCCTCGGGCCCTGACCCCTTCCCCTCTCGCTCCTTCCAGTTATTCCCATGCCCTGGATGGCATGTACCGTGTCCTCCGGGAAGGTGAGGCTGTGCCAGCCGTGTGGGTGAGCCTGCTCCGGTGTCCTAGCAGGTGCCGGGTCAGGGCACCCTGGAAGTTCGCTCAGCCGGGGCAGGGAAAGGGGCTGGGGGATGCCCTTGGGGCTGGGGGTGTCCAGGGGAGCGCAAGGTCTGGCATCTCCTCATTGTCTGGCTGGGGCAGGGGCTGGGCAAGGTCTGGCAGGGCCTGGCAGCCTGCACATACTTGGTGGGAAAGGGTGACCTGCTGGGAGCTGCAACAGAACAGCGCATGAGGGTGGAGCAGGTGGAATAGAGCAGAGGCAGGGAGGAAGTCGTGGTGTTTTGAAGGACTCCCTACTCCTTCAGCTTGTTCGCTATGGTGTGCTTCAAGCAGGGCTGTGTGAGGAGTTGAGGACACAGACTAGGCATGGAAGGAGACTCCCGGGGCAATGGAGTCTGAGTGATGGCAGAGAGCTGTGCTGATCCAAATCTGTCTGTCCACAGAGGGCCTGAAGAAACTCTTCTCAGGAGCATCAGTGGCATCAGCCCGCGGGGCCCTCGTTACTGTTGGACAGGTAGGACAGCTCTGCTGGGCAGTAGGTGACTGGGATAGGGACTAGGATGGTCCCTGGTATGGCAAGGAAGGGGGAGCATGTCACTGATTCACCATGTCTCTGCAGCTTTCCTGTTATGATCAGGCCAAGCAGCTGGTTCTCGCGACTGGATTGCTGTCAGACAATGTCTTCACTCACTTCCTGTCCAGCTTCATCGCTGTGAGTAGGGCCGGGGTCCAGGGGCAGCGCTGGGGCTGGGTTTGCCTGCAGCCAGGGTCAGAGCACCAGGCTGGGGCTGCCAGAGCTGCTGCTCTGGGCTTGGTTCAGCGCATGGCTCCAGGAGGCTCCCGGCCTGAGGTCCCAGTGTGGCTCTGAGTCTCTCCAGTGACCATCGCAGGTGCTGGCACAGAGGTCTCCTGACTGGGCTGACTCTCTGCAGGGCCTGTGTGCCACATTCCTGTGCCAGCCCCTGGATGTGCTCAAGACCCGCCTCATGAACTCCCACGGGGAGTACCAGGTGAGTCGCCCACCTTGCTGCTGCCTGTCCTCCCATCTCTGTGTGCCAGCTTCTGCCTCCCAGCCCCTCCCACCTGATCTCACCCTCTCACTCCAGGGTGTTGTCCACTGTGCCATGGAAACTGCCAAGCTTGGACCACTTGCCTTCTACAAGGTACCTGGCTGGGGGTGCAGGGGGTGGGCAGGCTGGGCCGAGCTGGGGGCAGAGGTTGTGGTCCAGAACAGTCCCGGGGCACGGAACCTTCCAGGCTCTGCTGTGGCAGCCCAGCTGCTTCCTGCATCAGGCCTTTGTCTGCCCGGCCCAGGCTTGGCCCCGAGGTGTTGCAAGCCCTGGCCTCAGTGGGACTCAGCCTGGGCCCAGGCACCACAGCTGTGGCCCTGTTGCACCCGTGGAGCTCCCAAACAGCAGTGCAGGTGCCAGAGGGGTTGGCACATGGTGCTGAGCCCTGTGTGCACCGTGGTGCCATGGTGTGACAGCTCCTGCTCCACAGCCCGGCCCGTGCTGACCCATGCCTGCCCACTCGTGCTGCTGCCAGGGTGGGGCTGCTGGCACGATCAGTGGCAGGCACACACTGATTCTTCCCCTTCTTGCTGTCCCCTTCCAGGGCTTCGTTCCTGCTGCTGTCCGGCTCGTTCCTCAGACTGTTCTCACCTTTCTCTTCCTGGAGCAGCTGCGCAAATATTTTGGGATTAAAGTGACCACCTGAGTGTGGGGGACTGGACCCTGCCTTGCCCCAGGGGGGTGAGCATGTGGGTCACGCCCAAGATCCCAGAACCCCTCTCTGCTCTCTGCGGCCAGTGCCATTCCCCCTCCTCTCAACTCCTGTGCCTTGCCAGCACCTGTGGCCAACCCCGCATTGCAAACTCGCCCCTCCTCTCACCCCGATTCTCAGCATCTCCACCTCTGCATTACTGCTTCTGGGGGGTTTTGTGGGGGGGTTTCTGTCTTCCCACTTCTCTACTAGCTCTGAGTTGTATCCTTGCCCCCCTCAGCCTTGTCCCTGATGTGCCCCAGAAGCAGGACTGTGCTGTCTCAGGGAGTAGGGAGATCAGATGCCTGGCTCTGTCACAGAGCCCGTGAGGCTGAGGGGGGCTGCTGGCTCTGCAGCTGTGGGGCTGGGCTTGGGGCAGTGCGTGTGAGGCCCTGTCCTCCCTCTGCCTTTAGCCTCTGTGCTCCTCCCTCACCCCAGTGCAGCTTGGACCTCCTGCCCTGCTCCTGGTCTCCCACCCTCTGCTTCTGCTTGGCCAAAACTCCTCAGCACCGCTGGCTGCTGGGCTCTTCAGGGATCGTGCCTCATACCAGTGACAGTGGGGAACAGGGCCTGCTAACGCCTGCTCGGGGACCCAGTACTCGCTTACCACAGTGCACCTGCCCCACACTGCATCTGATCTCCGTGGGGGCATCCCCCACCACCACTCTGCAGCCTCTCACCTTGGGGCTGAGCAGACCCCACTCCTCACAGCCCCTCCCCCCCACTGCCCAGTGTGTGGACGCTGTGAGCACCAGCCCCTCTGCTATGGCACCTCTGTGTGTGCTGGCCCCAAGGAATCAAAGAACTGGAATATCTGAGACCTTGATGTATAATAAAGAGTGAAGGTGGCACAGGGCCTGCTGTCCTCTTAGGAGGGGAGAGATGCTGCACCCCCTTTTCATGGCTGGGAGCTGAGCCCCCCGAGCTGAGAGAGGGTAGCAAGGCTTGGCCCCTGGCGCTATGCCAAGGGGGTCTTCAACCCAGTCTGTGCCCAGCACCCCTGGCCCTGTGTGCAGAGGGAGCTGCAGAGGGGCAGGCTCCACAGCCGAGCTGTGCCCGGTCTCAGCTGGACAGCAGCTCCAGGGTAGGGCTGTGCCAAGGGTGCCCGTCATCCCTGCAGGAGCTGCCTCCTGGATGTGACACTAATTGGGCTCCGGCAGACTGGCACAGCAGAGCAGTGAAAGCTCGTCACCTTAACAAGGCCTAATGATGCTAACTGGCATCAGCACTCTGGGCTTATGCCCAGCCAGCAGAGGCCATGGGCAGGTGAACGCTCAGGGAGCTCTCCTCACAAGTAGCTGGGGCTACTTGTAGCCCTGCCAGGCTGTGCTTTCTCACCCCCCACGTCCTGCAGCACTGCTCCTGGGGCTGACGGGTGCTGCTCTGTGCCATGCAAAGGGCCAGCAAGGAGCAGGACAGCGATGGAGCCCCGTGGCCCCCCAGCAGCACGGAACTCTGCTCAGCCCCACGGTGGCCAGCGGCGGGGGCGTTCCAGTTGGGCTGTGGTCCCACCAGCTGTGCCAGCCCTGCGCTCCCGTGTGCAAATTCCCTCTCTCCATATCCCTTGTGGCAGCTGAACTGCAGCAGTCACACTGGCAGGCAGGACAGCATGTGCCAGACACAGCCGGGAGCACAGCGCCCACAGCTGCAGTGCGAGGGCACTACTCATCTCCTGCGCATCAGGGAGCGGGGGGCTGGCAGCAGTCTGTGGCTGTGCCGCCTGCCCCCTGCTCCCACCCTGCCCTCTACCAGGGCCCCGCAGCTGCCTGCAGGGGCTTCTCCGGGGCACCCCTCTGCCCGCACCAGGTAAGGCTGGGGGCTGCCCGTCCTCCCCCAAAGCCCCCCTCCTGGCCTGGAGGGGTGCCGGGCCATCTCCAGGGGGGCAGCTGTGGCTCCAATCCTCGTGGCAATGGCAGGACACCCGCAGGCCCCAGCGTGTGCCTCGCTCCTGTGCCCGCACTCAGCGGCGGCCGCGCAGCGCGGGACCCGGGGCTGGGCTGAGCTCGTCACCGGGGCACTGCTGGCTGTACCGCTGCTGCCGCGGCCCACGGTAAATGTGCTCGTGCCGGGAGGCCAGGGCAGGGCAACCCCCGGTCGGGGCTCCCCCGGATCCCTCTGCCGCCCCGGCCAGCCGGTCCCGGTGCGTCGCTGTTTCTGGGCTGTGTTTACCTGCAGCGGGACAGCGACGGCAGACACCGACCCGTCAGCGCCGGCGGCGGCCGGAGCGCGGGTGTTGAGGCGGCCGGCGGCGGCGCGGCCGAGATCCGCCCGGGTCCCCGAGGGTCCGAGCGGCTCCCGCGGCGGGGCCGCCAGCGCGGAGCACGGCAGGAGCGGGCGGCACGCTGGGACCGGGGAAACCTCTCGGAGAACGGACCCCCGGGGCTTGCCCAGTCTAGCTGCCCCCGCCGCTCCGCCCGTCCCCGCCGAGCCGAGCCGGTGCCCGGGAGTGGGGCGGGGCAGGGACAAGCGACAGCGCCCGCAGCTCCCGGGAGTGACCGCCGGTGATGCCGGGGGCAGCGCCAAGCACTCGGGCGGGGCTGGGGCACCAGGCTGTGCCCCCCTCGTGCCGGCGGGAGGAGCGGGGCGGCGGGACGCGGCTCCGTGCCCGCGGTCCCTCCCCCCGAGCCGGTCCCTCCCCCTGAGTCGCCACAGCCGCTGCCGTCGCGGCTCCGCTAAAGTTTTCGCCGAGCGCGCCGGACCCAATCCCCGCCGGTCCGGAGATGCGTTCGGGAGCCACCGCGAGCCCAGCCCCGACAGGTACGGGGAAGGGAGGGAGGAGGGCAGGGAGCGCCCAGAGTCGCGGTCTCGGAGCTCGGGATGTCGCATGTCCCGTCGCCGGGACGTGGATTCCAGTGACGACTGCGCAACCCCGGGGCCACAAACTGAGCCCCGGGACCCCGGAGCAGCAGCTCCCAGAGCCGCCCCGACGCTGGGCGCCGGCCCCGGGGAAAATGAGCCCCTGGCTCTTCTGGGCCTGGGGTTCCCGCAGGGCTGTGCCCGCTTCTCGTCCGACCGCTGCCGCTGGCATCCCTGGGCAGGGGCGCTGCCGTCGGTCTCTCAGCACCCCTGGGCTCTGCCGCAGCTGCGGTGAGCCCCGGGCCAGCGATCCCAGCCGAACCCCGTCGCTTTGGGAGCAATTGCTGGGGCAGCCCTCAGTCGGGGTGGGACGCGCGTGGTGTCCCTGCCGTGGGCACAGCAGTGCCCATGGCTCTCCTGCCGAGGGGCCGAAGCAGGGGACACTTTGCCAGGTCCCAGCTCGCCCCAAGATCTCTGGGTATTACGGGGGCCTGGTGCGAGTGCCCTTTGTGACTCTGTCCTGAGCTCTGCTGTGTCAACACGGTGTTGGTAAATGGCTTTGTTTAACCAGGACATGTCGGGTATGTGACCTTGCCGTCCTCCTGGTTGCAAGTGCATCTCCAAAGCTGCTGCGGGTCCCCTCTGCCCGGCACTGCACTTGCCTGGGGTGGTGAGGGGAGCAGGGCCCGTGGGGTCAGCCTGCTCCCCTCGCACAGAGTGGCCTGAGGACGGAGCATCAGCTCTGCTGAGCCCTTGTCGTGCGCCCCACGGCACAGCGCCTGCCGCGGGAGTCCTGACCCACACCAAACTCAGTGACTGCCCCTGTGATTTTGTCTGTGCATCAGCAGGAAAATTTAGAGCCTGCAGGACCCCTCGTCAGCGTGTTAGTGCTGCCCCAGCTGCCAGCTCCTGTGGCTTCCCACCAATCCTGCTCCTTTCCGCACACTGCGGTGCATTTTTTTTTTTTTTTTTGTGTTCTGTTGCCTAGAGAGGGGAAAAGAGAAAAGGCTGAACAGAGAATAGGCAAAATGTGGATTAAAAATAGTTAATGAAAAAATGTGACCACAAGCCCTGAGCAGCAGCACAGGGCTAAAACCAGCCACTGAGCACAGCATCTCCATGCACCTCGCTGTGCCAGGCAAGGACAGGGGCAGGGGAAGCCGGAGAGCGGGGAGATGGGATGGCTGCTCACTCCATCCCCCTGTGCTCCACCACTGCATCCTGCTTTGTCCTGCATCCCCATGCCCTTGTTTATCTACCCCAGCACTGGGGTCGAGTGCACATGCCTGTGGTGCCAGTGGATGGCTGGGCACGTGTGGCCCCTCAGCACCCCCGCCTTGCTGGGGCTGCTCCCTGGCTGTACCCGGGGCTGCAGATCTGCTGTTGGGCTGGCGGGTGTGGAGCTCCCAGTGCAGGGCAGTGTGTGCACTAGCCTGTCTGCACTGACCTTTTCCTAAGCTTTTCCCAGCCCTGTGCCTCCCCTGTGACATGCTAACCACACGTGTTGCACCGTGTCTCTTGTGCCTTCCTTCTGTGTTTCACAGGTTTTTGTGCAACGTGATGAACAAAAACACCCCTTTCCTTGAGCAGGGATGAGGTGCTGTGTGGCTCAGCATCCCCATGCCAGAGCCAGCTGGGCAGCAAGGTAATTTGGCTGCTGCCAGGCTGTGTCATGGTCCCTCCTTGGTACAGGGCAGTTGAGCAGGTGCTCCTGGCCCATGCCTTGTGGTGACTGGGCAGTAGTGGAGGTGATGCATAGAGCATTTGCCCTCTTTGCATCCTATGCTCCTGTTGACAAAAACACTGTCAGGGCTGGTTTGGGTTTTCTTGGTCCAAGGTGACACAGAATCCGACGTCACCAGTGCCTGGTGATGTTGGCTCTCTCCATGTGCCATTGCTCAGGGCTTCCACAATCATGCAGCTCTGTGCAAACAAGTCACAGCCTTGCAGCACAAGGGCTGTTCTGGGCTGCTCAGCTGCTCCTTTGCTGCCAAAGTTCCTTGTACTTAGTTGTCAAGGAAAGAATGGAGAAGGGGAGTAGGAAACATCCCCGAGCTTCCAGCACGGACACGGGGCAGGGACGATGCAGGACAGACCTCCTGAGCCTCCCTGCCACGACCGCCTCCCCCAGCCCTGCCCCGCTTGCCGCGGTCCCGAGTGGAAAGTGGAGCAGCATCTGCAGGGCCAGGCTGGCACTGGCATTGCATCAGCCCTGGCCCAGCACCGTCCCCTCCCCTGCCAAGTGCCAAAGCCCCTGCCGTGCTGGCATGTAGCTCCAAGCTCCAAGCCAAGCCAGCCATGGAAGGCACCGCATTAGCACATGGGGGGCTAATCCCTGTGTCCAGAGGCTGCACAGTCCCCACAGCTGCCTCCAAGCCAGCGGGGCTGGGCTGGGTGCAGGGCTGGGCTCACAGAAGGCCAAGTCCCCACCCCACCGGGGAGGAAAGAGTCCTGTGGGACCAGGCTCTGGGGGCTGCGCCAGCCTCTCTGCACTTGTGCAGGGCTGTGGCTGTGCCAAGGTGCTCCCAGGTCACGTTGCAGATGCCCATGAGTGTCCTGTGGAGACTTCACCAAGCCACTGATCCACATGACTGTCGGCCGTAGAGATCCCAGATGTGGAGCTCATTCTCTCACACGTGAAATGGCAGCAACGCCAGAGGGGCTGGGGGGACAAAATCCTCCGGGGAAACTGGCCATGATGGGATGAGGAGAGGGTCTCTTCCTGGGCAGGCTGGGCTCAGCCACCAGTGGGGGTCCATGCTGGTAAAGGGCTGCTGCAGGGTAGCATGGAGGCTGCACACCTATCAGTGGGGAGCAAAATCCCAGCACAAGCCTTCTCCCATCCATGCCCTCTGTCTTGGTGCAATTCCATGGCAGCAGTGCACCCAGGTGCTCAATTTGCTCTGCACCCTGCCCGGGCTGGCCCCTGCCTTCTGACCACCCTGGGGCCAATGGCAGCTGCCATGAGCTGCAGGTCAGCCAGGACCACAGGGGCACCAGTCAAGGGGAATGGGAGTCCTTGCTTTGCTCCTGGGGCTGCAGGGGTTGGCACTGCTGGCTTGGGAAAGGCAAATGCAGATGCCAGCAACAGCCACACTCTGAGGGCAGATGATGGTGCCTGTGTCTGAGCCCTCTGGCCCCCAGCACTGGGGCTACCAGCAGTGGTGCTGCTCGTAGCCATCCCAGTGTTGTCTCCTTGTTCCTGCTCTCCTGGCACAAGGTCTCTTTCTCACAGCTGTGGCTCTGAGTGGAGTCGTACTGGGTGTTTGCAGCCTGGCTCCATGAAGGTCAGCAGCCACAGGACCGTGACACAGGAACATACCCCGCTGTCCCACACCAGCGTGGGGCAAAAGTCCCCTGGACACCTGCTGTCATGCACTGCAGCCCCTCAGAGGCACCAATTCACAGGCCAGGCACCCTCCACCTACTGCTTATGACTTGGTGTGGTGGGGGATCCCCCAAAGCCTGGCCCCAGCTGGGGATGAGGTGCCAGGGCAGGGAATGTGGCACTGGGAGCCAGCTGGGCACAGCAGAGTGAGAGGAGGTGGTGAGGATGTGGGGCCAGGTCCCTTGTGCGGAGCTGCCTGTGGCACCCAGGCACAGCTGGCAGGGGCTGCAGCAGGTCCAGCTGGCAGAGCTGCTGCCGGGCAGTGCCAGCTCCAGGGAGGTGCCAGTGCTGCCAGTGGTCCCAGCCACCCCAGACCTTGCTGTTCCACCACACAGAGCCACTGCTCCCTCTCTGCCGTTGCCCACTGACAGCAGACCAGGGAGAGCTGGTCCACGGCTACTTTTGCACTGCCAGGTCTCTGCTGGAAGCAGCCCTGTCTGCAGGGACCCCTCGTCCTGTGGGTAGCGGGGACCTGGCGTGGTGCCACGGCCGTGCAGTGCCACAGGCAGCTGGGGCAAAGGGCCTGGGCAGGGTGAGGGGGAAGACCCATGCCGGGGCTCGGAGCATGACTGGCCCCCGTGCCAGGACCCCTCACCCAGTGCAGTCTGCCCGGCTTGGCCACGATGGGGCCAGGCCGGGGAGCGGCTGCCAGATGGGGGGAGTCCAGGGCAGAGGCCTCCCTGCTGCTAAATCCCACTGCAGCAACTAAAAATAGCGACACCTCTGCCCCAAAGTTGCTCCCCGGCTGCGCAGAGGGGTTGACAGCAAGTCACTGTGACCCATGGACCTGGAGGAGCGTTCCCAACAAGGGCAGGGACTGATGCTTGGCCCGGGACTGGCACTGGCATCTTCCCGTGGGACTGGGACATAGGTGGCATGGGACAGGTAGGGATGATGATGTGCAGGAGGGGGGCACAGGGATGTAGGATAGGGCTAGCAGGGGAACAAGGACAGGGATGCTGGCAGGGGGTGTGGGAGGAAAGAGACAGGGATCCTGAGGTGGGATGGGAGAGGGACTAGGACAGGGATACTGGTTGGGCAACAGTGCTGGTGGGGTGGGGCTGGGGTGATGACAAAACCAGGAATTCTGGAATGGTGAGGTGGCTAGTGGGCACCCAAGAAAGGTCCCTATTCACAGAGCCCACCCAGTGAGAACTGTCCCAGGAGACAGCTCCCTCTGTCCTGGGACTGGCTAAATAAGGCCATGGCAGGTCCTGCTCCCCGAGCTGCATCTGGAGCCCCACGCGCTGATTAATGAGCTGCTCCGGCAGCCACTTGCGGCATGGCAAGTGGGTCTGCACGGATGGAGGAAACACGACTTTCCCAGGGATAAAAATAGGCACAAGCAGAGCAGCGAGCCCTGGGAGCAGACTGGTCGGGGAGCACAACGCTCTGGCTGGTGCCCAGGGAGAGCCCAGGGCTGGGTGATGCTGCAGTGCCTGTGGTGGCCCTGGCACTGCTGTCCCTCCCCTCCCCCGGCTGGGCTGCCCTCACCCCACGGAGCTGCGCTGTGCCATGGGGCTGCTGCCATAATGAGCCCTTGTGGGAAGAGCTGAAATCCTGCTCAGGAGCCCCATAACCGGCTTAGGGGGATGGAGGGAATTATGGCACCTCGTGAGCCAGGGCCTGTGATGGACCCACAGGGGCACAGCCCAGCTGAGCTTGTCCTGGGGCCAGAGCAGCCCCACAAGCCAGGATCCTTATGGGCTAATGGCCAGTGTCCCCATCCCTGCTGGCCCCGTGCTCTCCGTGGCTCCCTGGCCACTGCCATCCACGGTGGGTGCTGCTGCCAGACCGTGGCTGGGTGTCAGTGGCCCAGGCATGAGAGTCTATGGAGACAGGGGATCCCAAATGCCAGCCTCTCTGCCTGAGAGGGTGCTCAGGTGTGAGGAGGGGTCCCTTCTACCATGGGGTTTATAATCTCAGGGCTCAGCGATGATGCACAGCTGGGTCCCAGCAGCAGTGTGGGGTGGCACCAGCCCAGGTTTTCTGTGGGGGTCTGGAGGCAGCACTGCCACTGCACTCCAGCCACACAGGGGCTGAAACTGGCTTGGCAGGCAGAGAACGTGCATGGTCACTGTCCCCGTGCCTTCCTGGGGAGGATAATACAGGCGCTGGTGCAAAAATGAGTGAACAAATATCTGAATGTGAGCACCAAGCAGGGTCGGGTGAGGATGGGGACAGGAGTGAGGCACCATGACTGTGCCTGGCTCTGTGCCAGAGTGGCTGCTTCCAGCCCCACCTGCCCTAGCCCCATGTCCCCCAGCTGTGTCCCAGGAGTGCCCATGACAAGGCGTCTTGCACAGGGCTGCCCACATGCCAGGGCCGTCACCACCAGGGTGGAGAAGCTGCTGAGGGCCAGTAGGAAGCCGTGTGCCCTGCGCTGTGTCCCATGCATGTGGTCCAGAGGAGGAATGTCCCAGCCTCATCTCCTCACCCTCCTGGTGCTGCTGCTCTGCTGCCAGGTAAGGATGAGCTGTCACACATGAGGGTGCTCTCCCCCACGCTCAGCCCGCTACCCACGCAGGACTGCCACCGAGCCACCCATCCCACTGCCTCCCCTCACCCTGGCATGTGGCACAGCATCTGATGCCTCTTTGTGCCTCCTCATGGCATGGCATGGCTCAGAATGCATGGCATGGCATGTTTGCCTGCACTCGCCTGTGCCTGTCCCCCAGCTGGGGTCACTGCCTGGCACAGCGTGGTGGCCCCTGCGAGTGGGACACATGTGACGGTCCCTGGTGCCCGCAGGGTCCCTCTGCCCAGATCACGGATTACGTCGTTGAGAGATGGAAGGAGTACAGCGAGGAGTGCCAGCGCAACATGAGCCGCCTGCCTGCGCCCACAGGTCAGCGCCCCTGGGGTCCCAGGGGGTTCTGGTGGGATGGGGCTGGCACAGGATCCGAATGAGATGGGGATGAGGCAGAGGAGCCAGCACAGGGTACCTGCAGGATGGGGGACAGAGCAGAGGGGGCAGTGGAGGATGAGGCCAAAGCGCCACCAGCTCCTGTCCTTCTGCAGAGCTGGTCTGTAACCGCACCTTCGACAAGTTCTCCTGCTGGCCCGACACGATGCCCAACAGCACAGCCAGTGTGCCCTGCCCCTGGTTCCTGCCCTGGTACCAGAAAGGTAACAGCGGGGAGGCCCATGTGCACCTGCAGCTGTGCAGTGTGTGCAGCTGTGCAGTGTGTTCACATGTGTGCAGCTGTGCAGTGTGTTCACATGTGAGCAGCTGTGCTGGGACACCTGTGTGCTGTGTGCAGGTGCTGCTGCGGGCAGTCACACCTGGGCCAGTGCACGCTGCCCATGGGGGTGCTGGGGCTGACATTCCTCACCATGCCCTCCCCTCACAGTGAAGCACAGACACGTCTTCAAGACCTGTGGGCCAGACGGACAGTGGGTGACAGGGCCACGGGGACAGTCCCTGCGCGATGCCACGCAGTGTGAGCAGGATGACGAGGACCTAAAGGCGCAGGTGGGCAGACCTGGGCAGCAGGGGTGTGGGGGTCCCTGCCTGCCCCCCCTGCCTGCCCTCCGTCTGCCCCTGCCATTACTTGCTCCCTCCTCTTCCAGGAAAAATTTGCCAAGACCTATGGCAGCTTCAAGGTGATGTACACTGTGGGCTACTCTGTGTCCCTGTGTGCACTGCTGCTTGCCCTGGCCCTGCTGCTGGGCTTCAGGTGGGAGTTTGGGCATGGCTGTCCACAGGGTGGGAAGGTGGAGGCCAGGGGCCCATGCACGGGCATTGACAACGATCCCCAAATCCGCAGCAAGCTGCACTGCATGAGGAACTACATCCACATGAACCTCTTCGCCTCCTTCATCCTGAAGGGCGTCTCCGTGCTGGTCATCGACGCCCTGCTCAAGACCCACTACAGCGACAAGATCGACGGCTACAACGTGCAAGTCTGGCTGAGTGACGAGGTCAGTGCAGCACCAGGAGGGCAGGGACAGGGACAGGGACAGGGACAGGGACAGGCAGTGCTGTGGGGCTGGGGGTTGGCTGGGCTGGGGGCACTGGTGGGGCTGGGGGCACAGACACACACGCACAGGCAGCACTGCAGCCCTGACCGCTGCCCACAGGCAGCTGCAGGCTGCCGGGCAGCCACAGTCTTCATGCAGTACGGCATCGTGGCCAACTACTGCTGGCTGCTGGTGGAAGGCATTTACCTGCATAACCTGCTGGTGGTGGCCGTCTTCTCCGAGAGGAGCTACTTCACCCTCTACCTGTGCATCGGCTGGGGTGAGTGTGGCTGGGCTGGGCCCCCTGACCCTGTGCCCTGCTGTGCCTCACCCATCCTCTGCTCACCTCCCCTCAGGGGCACCCATGCTGTTCCTCATTCCCTGGGTCATTGTGAAGTTCCTCTACGAAAACATACAGTGAGTACCAGCTCCAGCTGCTGGCTGGAGGGGGGCACAGGGCACAGGTAGGTGCATGTGGGACTGTAGGGACGTTGTAATGGCCCTGGAGTCACTCCACACCATTGCCCATGGCAAAGAGCAGGGTTCTGGCCTTTAGTGCTTGCTTGATTCAGGCCGCCAGTGCCATGCCAGTCTCCAGCAGCTGGCTGGTCAAGGGGCTTCCTGACAGTCCCCATCCCTCCATTCTGCAGGTGCTGGTCCACGAACAACAACATGGGCTTCTGGTGGATCCTTCGCTTCCCCGTGTTCCTGGCCATCCTGGTGAGCCCACTGCAGCCCCCTGCTCGAGTCTCTCTCACAGGCCCCAGGATGGCTGTGAGAAGAGCTGCCGAGGGCAGGGGAACAGAGGTGTCCTGTCTGCCCCTCCTCTGGCTCTGCCTGTGCCCCTGATGGCTCGCTCCATTCCATTGCAGATCAACTTCTTCATCTTCATCCGCATCATTCAGATCCTTGTTTCCAAGCTGCGTGCACACCAGATGCGCTACACTGACTACAAGTTCAGGTGGGTGCTGAGCACGGCTCACCCTGTGCTCCCAGGGCACGCAGGCCTGCGTGCCCACCCGTGACCCTGTCCCACAGGCTGGCCAGGTCCACGCTGACCCTCATCCCGCTGCTGGGCATCCACGAGGTGGTCTTCGCCTTCATCACAGACGAGCATGCCCAGGGCACACTGCGCTATGTCAAGCTCTTCTTCGACCTCTTCCTGAGCTCCTTCCAGGTGAGCCCAACCCTCCCAGGCCAGCCCACCATGGGGAGACTCAGTCTCAGGAGGGACTAGACTGAGGTCTGGTTATGCTCTTCACGCCTCTCCTCCCCCTTCCCAGGGTTTGCTGGTGGCCATTCTCTACTGCTTCGTCAACAAAGAGGTGAGCAGGACAGCAGGGGCACGGGCAGCAGGGGCACGGGGTCACGCTGACAGCTGCTGCCCGCAGGTGCAGGCAGAGCTGCTGAAGCGGTGGCAGCGCTGGAAGCTGGGGAAGGACCTGGCTGAGGAGTACAAGCACACGTACAGCCACGCACCCAGTGCCCGCAACGGTGCCGGCAGCACCTGCGAGAAGCACCAGCTGGTGAGTGGCTGCACCAACGGGCTGGGGCGCAGCCTGGCCCCCCAGCCCAGCTCCCAGCGCCTGGAGAGGAGCGGGCGCAGCGCTGCCGAGCACCTCGCCCTGGGGGGCCATCATCACTGCTATGAGTTTCCTGAGACCACGGCCGAGAGCCACTTCTGAGCCCGCAGCCAGGAGGGAGGGCTGTGCTGAGCCGCCGGGATGCCGCCGTGCCCTGCCCCGTCCTCGCCGGGTGCTGGCGGGCACTGGGACCTGCCACCCTGGGGAGGGGCACACGGACAATGGACATAGTGAGGCAGGCAAGTGGGACCTGGACCTCTGGAAACGGGAACTGTGGGGCCAGGGGGATCTGTAGGGGTGGGAGTTTGTCCTGTGGTGCTTCCCTCGTGCACCTTCGAGTCCCTGTGCACAGTGCTGTAATTTATCTGTCATATCTGTAAATAGGTGTGGGCCCATGCCGGGCTGCAGGGCCAGCTCTGTGTGTGCCTTGCTGTGGGGACTGGGGACACTGGGGACATTGGACTTTTGTGGACTATGCTCCCAAGCACCCCACGGATGCTCCCATGCCATAGCCCTGGATGGGGAGCTGAGTCACCTGGCAGGGATGTGCTGCTGCAGAAGACAGCCCCGCTGCCTGCCCCACTGCCTGCCCGCAGCCCCGCAGCCCTGCTGCCCCGCTGCCCGCCCCACGCTGCCGCACAGGTGAGGGGGGCAGACATGCAGCAGCAGCAGCAGCCGCTGCAGCGCTGCCGGCCGGGGCACCAGCTGCCCCAGCACGCGCTTTCCTTTGGCTGCTAATCGGCTCTGTCCTCTCGCTGCCAGGAGCCCTTAATTAAATCATTTGGCTCTGCCCGCGGCACCCCCGCTCTCCGGTAGCTGGCCCAGGCCGTGGCCGGGCATCAGCCGCCGGCAGCGCGGGCTCGGTGAGCAGCAGCGGGGTGCGGGGCTGCGAGACCCCTGTGCGACAGGCCGGGCGGGCTGCGGCGGGCACACAGCGGTGGCCTAAGAGGCTTGTGCTGCGCACATGAGCGCTAAGCCCGGATGCCGCAGCTTTGGGCACCACAATCGTCTGGTGTGTGGGGATTAGGCCGGTGCCGCTCCCCGGCTGGGTTCACCCTGCCCGAGGGGTGCCAGCGGGACGGACAGCCGCCCTGCCGTGACCCCCGCCGCCCACGGACCTGGCCATGGGCACTGCCCGTCACCCATCCCTCCGCCCCGCCTGGCCCCGAGCGGGTGACGGTCCCGCACACAGTCCGGCACGGGGACGCGCTGAGAGCTGGAGCTGCGCCCCGGCAGCCCCCCGGTAAATCGCACCCTGTCGCAGCACCGCCCGCCCGCGGCCCTGACTCCCACGGTTCCCCTGACACCCACGGCTCCCCTGACACCCTCGGGAGCCGTCGGGAGCCGCGCCGTCTGCGGGGTGCCCGGCCACAGCGAGGCACCGGTGGGGCTGGCGTGGCACGGCCAAAGAAGCGATGGTCCAGGCCACGCAGAGCTTGGCTCCGGCAGCACAGCCCAGCCCAGCACACAGTAATTTTCCTCTGTTTACTCGACAGCTTGCTGTCTGCCCTGGCCGAGCAGGACCCGGCGCCCAAGAGGCAGAGCAGCGCTGGCAGCGGGGATGGGAGCAACAGAGATGGGGGACAGAGGGTCTGGGCTGCGGGGCTGCGGGATGGGGGCGGCAGCACCGTGGGGCTGTGAGGACACAGGGACTGCAGTGGAACGGACGAGAGGAGGGGAGCACAATGCTGGGGGTCTGCCCAGGCCCCCAAGTGCAGGGCTGGGGACAGGAATAGAGAGAGGAACAGGGATTACTCTGCTCACAGCCATGGTGCCAGAGCGGCCCCGGCAGCCCCCGCGGAGCCAACGGCCCCAAAGCCGCTGCCGTCACTGCGGCCTTCCTGACGCGGTAACGAGCCTAATTGAGGCAAATTGCTGGAGCACCGAGCAGTTTCTGGGAAGGTAAATATGGTCATGGCACGGGGCTGTGCCCTGCGCCTGTTGTTCCAGCGTTGCTAGCTGGAGCACCGAGCAGTTTCTGGGAAGGTAAATATGGTCATGGCACTGCGCCTGTTGTTCCAGCGTTGCTGTGGCAACACCCCACTCTAGACCCCAACCCCGCTGGGGCCAGGCTGGCCCCCAGACCTTGCCCAGCAAGGGTGGCCCTACGTGTGCCACACAATGATGGGGACCCTTCACGGACCTCGAGCCACCCCCAGCCCATGGGTGTGCTGTGGAAATGTCCTGTGTCCCCGGGTGCTGAGGGGCAGCCCCCAGTGCTCCCCATGTCCCACAAACACCCAACAGCCCAAGGAGGGATGGTGTCTGCCGGTGCCCAGGAGCCCTGGGCAAGCACACGATGCCTGCCTGCACCAGGCCATGTCCCACAGCACCTGTGCCAGCCAGGTGTGTCCCAGAGCTGGACATTGCCTGTACTGCAGGGCTGAATCTGCAGCCCTGTGCCCTGATGACCTCCAGCTCCCACAGAATCACATGCTGTGGCCAGCAGCTCCCCAATAACCATGGTAACTACAGCCCCCAGGATGGTCGGGAGGCAACTCTGCTCCTGGGAGGAAGTGGGACCAGCCCCAGCCCAAGGACACAGCTCTTCTGGGACTGCAGCACCATCCTGTCCCATCACTGCAGAGCTGCTGCAACGGCACCCCTGCCTGCCTCAGCCTGGCACTGCCAGCAGTGTTGGCACCCATCCAGTGCTGTGCCCATCCTGTGCTGTGCCCATCCTGTGCTGTGCCCATCCTGTGTTGTGCCCATCCTGTGCTGTGTCCATCCTGTACTGTGTTCCTCCTGTGTTGTGCCCATCCTGTGCTGTGTCCATCCTGCCAGCGCTCAGGGGCACCCCCACCCTGAGGAACAGCTCAAGCAGCACAGCCTGCACATGTGTGTGTGCACACGTACACCACAGGTACACCACACACACACACACACCCCCAGCACACATGTACACCACACGTGTACACCCTACACACATGCACTTGCACACAGACATGTGCAGACACACACTCACGGGTGTGCACACACACACACATACACACATGTGCACACATACTCACGTGCACACACACACACACACACACACACACACACACACACAGAGGCACTTCCCTCGGCTGCCCAATGGGAGCTGCTCATTCCTGGCATCCAGGAGGATGAAGGCGCTGACAGCAGCCTGGCCAGACTTGCAGGATGGTTTGGGTGGGAAGGGACCTTTAAATGTCCCCTGGCTCAGCCCCCACGGTGAGCAGGGACACCTGCACCAGACCAGGTTGCTCAGAGCACCATCCAGCCTGGAACTGAGTGTTTCAGGGATGGAGCAGTCAAGCACCCCGTGCCCTTCCAGGCAGCCCATGCTGGAACCTCGTTGTCCCAAGCAGAGACTCTGCAGACACCACAGCGCAGCCATGGCGTGGAGTTCATCCCAAGGCAGGGAATGGGGCTGAGGCCGTTCCTCACCCCCAGACTGGTAGCCTGGGCTGTGTCCCCAGCCAGTGCCTTCCACGACGGGCAGTGCCCCCACCCCAGCACAGCCAGGCACCCCTAGGCACGGCGCCTCGCAGGAAAATTCCCACTTTATCAAGGGAATTGAGCACCACAAATTGGTCTCCTAAGTCGATTCTGCTTGCTGCCAGGCCTCTTCCCCACCACCTAATTTGATGACAAACACGTTCCTCTCCTCCTCCCACCCTTTAATCTAATGAAGAGCACTGTGTCCAAGGCACAGGGAAATAAACCCTGATGAGGTCGATTTTTATAGGTAAACAGCCTGATTTCTCTGGCCTGTGGCCTCACTCCTCGCACCCCTAACACCCACCACCTCCCCCTACCACCTCACCATGCTTGCCCTGCGATTTGGCATCAGTCTTTATAAAAATCACCTGCTTATAGAATGGTTTTTGTACATTTCATTAGAGCTTGAGTAGCTGCTTTGCCTCTGGCTTTACTGTGCCCGAGCAGAGAAGAAAACAAGGCAGAAGCTGGTGGGGCTGCAGTGGGGCCCGTGTGCCCAGGGGCGTGTGGGGGTCCTGCAGACCTGGGATGGCCCCAGATGGGTGCCCAGACAGGGGGCAGTGCTGGCCTCCATGGCAGCTGAACAGGAGCCCACCTGGACACAAGACACGGCTCTGCACATGCTAAGGGCCAAGAGCCAGGGCAGCCCCACTGTCCTGTCAGGCTCCCTGAACACACCACAGGGCCCATCCCACCAGAAGAGTGAAAGGAGAGGGGTTGTGACAGTGACAAACATCACTCCCTGTCCCCTCCTGCCTGCAGCTGCAGGGATGTGGGGCCTGGGGTGGCTCGGGAGGCAACAGGGGCTGAGTTCCCATCTTGCTGTGCCAGAACCAAGCAGCAGGAATGTTTTGGTGATGGGAAGTAAACAGGGTCATGGCAAGTGTCAAGACGCACTCCAGCAGAAATTCTAGCAATGCTAAGTATAGCCTAAATGCCATTAAAGCAGGACAGGGAAGAGGATACGAGAGTATTAATAGTCTCAACATTTAAATCCTGGGTGCAGCCACAGCTCCCGGGATGCTGGCTGCCCAAGCCCAAGGGCACTGTGCCACCGACACACTGCACCTGCCCGCAGGAAAACCACCAGCCCCAGCAAGGCCAAGGCCCCTCTGCAAAACACAAACACAGCTCCTGCTCTCTGCCCCTTGTCCACGCCCCAGAGCTGGGCCAGGCTGCAGCACCACACCAAGGCAGCCCCAAAAGGACACCAGCGTTTATTTACAACACTCCTCAAGTGACATACCACAGAAAGGAAAGGGTACAGTACAACTCAAGGACTCAACAAAGGAAAGGTATTGGCAGCCCCAGGTCCCTGCAGCCCTCCCCACAGCCGCTGGCACTGCAGGCCTGGCAGCCCCATCCCCGCCAGCCCAGAGCACAGGCGGGCAGGGGGCTGCCAGCCCTCCCCACGGAGCAGCCCAGCAGCTAGGGTGGGCAAAGCTGACACAGTCACTCTCTCTGGCTCAGGCAAGGACGCAGGAACCATCCAGGCAGTGCCAGGAGCTTAAGGAAGCACCCAGGAGTGGTTCCAGCACCTGCGGCACCCAGGGTGAGCTGAGGGGCCGGGTCTCTTCCAAGGGCTGCGTATCTGGAAAATGGTGTTAGTACAAAACTGCAGCGTTGCCAGGGCAAGGAGCTCCTGAGCCCTGCTCCGTGCAGCCCCACGGCCACTGTCTCCTGTAGGGCTGCAGGTGGCCCAGCTCCCTCTGAGCACCTCTCAGAAGCCTGGGGCTGGTGCTGACACTCCTCCTCCCCATCTATAGGGAGAGGAACACCTTCCCCTCCACCACCACAGGGACCAGGCAGGTAGATCTAAGCAGGTAGAAAATGTGGCCTCAGATGCGGCCCACGTGCTCTGGCAGCAAGCAGCCCAGGCAGCAACTTGCTGCCACAGTGGAACTGGGAGGAGCCTGGCTATGGCCTCCCAGCCCTCAGCTGCACAGCAGGGCTGGGCAGGGGTTGTCCCCGTGTCTGGAGGCACAGGAATAGACTCGACTGTGCCACCTGCCCTGGGCCAGCCCCAGCAGCGGTGGAGCTTTGGTGCACAGGGGAAAGCGAGGCCCTGTGCTGCCCGATCCAACAGCGCATCTGCCTCGGCCCTGCCCAGCCTAGCACAGAGGGCGGCGACAGGAGGGGAACAGGGGATCGGGTTGCTCAGCATGAAGTGGGGAAGGGCAGTTTGAGGCCAGAGAAAGCTAGAGCGGGGGACTGGAATCCTTTGCAACAGGCTCTGGGCAGTCTTGGTGAGGCCCTGAGCATCCTCGACCTCAGGCAGCTTGAGAGCCAGCCCCAGAGCTGACTGGCTCTCCCGCGGACTTTTAGGAGGACAGACCAGAGGAGGAAATCAACACAAAATCTCAAATTAAATCTGCTTGAGGACCTCAGGAGAGCAGCCGACCCGCAGGGAAGACCTGCTTTAGGACTTCTTCGCATCCTGTGTGTTCCTCCTCTTCAGATCACCCAGGTCGACGGGTTTAAACGCTGCAAGGGAGACAGGAGAGACTTTGGGGGCAGAGGCAGCGCAGCCCCTGCCCGGCGCGCACAACCCCCGGGCCGGCACGGCCGGAGCGGTGCCCCCGCGCCCCGCACCTTTCAGGCTGGGGTTCGGCATCTTCTCCACGTACTCCTCGACCAGGCCGCGCTCGGAGCCCATCTGGCTGCGCAGGTCGCGCTCCACGCACTGCCAGGCTGCAGGGACAGGCCAGGGCAGGGTCAGGGGCCGCTCGCCTCGGCCGCCCCGAGCCGCCCGCGCCCCCAGCCCGCGGCCGCCACCCCGCTCACCCTCATAGATGAAGCGCACGTTCTCCTCGTGGGCCGGCGTGAAGATCTCGCTGCCGGCGCCGGGAGAGCGCGGGCCGCCGCTCCGCTTTCCGTTGTACACCACCCGGGACACGGGGGAGCTGCAAGCGGAGCGCGGGGGGAACTGAGCCGGGCCCGGGGCCGCGCTGGGCCCGGGGCCGGGCGGGGCTCACCTGGCCATGTCGGCAGCGGCGCTCGGCGGGGCTCGGCGGGGTCGGAAGGGGCTCGGCGGAGCTGTGGGAGGAAGGCGAGGCCGGGATAGGCCGCGCGGGCCCCCGCCCGTCGCCGGGCAACGCGCGCCCCTCACCTGGGCCCTCCCGCCTGCGCCAGCCGCACAGACGGAAGCGCCACAGCGCGCAGGCGCGGCCCCGCCCCCTCCCGGCAACGGCCACACCCCCGCGCCGGCCTGCGCACAGCGCTGGCCACGCCCCCGGCCCGCCAGGCCACGCCCCCGCCCGGCGGTACCGGGGATGGTACCGGGGGTGCTAGCGGAGATGGCACCGGATGGTACCACAGGTGGTACCGGAGGTGGTACCGGACATGGTACCGCAGGTGGTACCGGAGGTGGTAACCGATATGCTTTATTGCAAAAGTACAAAGTGGTTCCCGATCGCAGTACCGAGCGCTGGTGCCCGCTCGCCGCCCGGGCCCAGCCCGGGCGCAGCCCTGGCCCTCGGGCAGGCGCAGCCCCCCGGGCCGCGTCCGGCTCAGCGCAGCGCCGTGCCTCCCAGGAGCTGCACCAGGTCCTCGTACTCGGGGTCGATGAGGTCCGAGGGTTTCTCCCCGTCGTCGGTGGTGGCCTCCAGGCTGGCCCCAAGGGACAGCAGGTACCTGCAGGACGCGGAGCTGAGCCGCCGGGCCGGTCAGCCCCGGGGCAGCGCCGGGACCGGGCCGCCCCGGGGAGCCGCACGGGCTCGGCTGCAGCGCGGTGCCGCCGGTGCCGGGCCCCGCAGCCCTACCTGGCGATGTCGGCGTAGCCGTCGCTGCAGGCCATGTGCAGCGGCGTCCAGCCGTTCTCGTCTCTCTGGTGGATGTCAGCGCCGTATTTCACCAGGAGCTTGACGCAGTCCAGGTTTCCCGTCAGCACGGCTTCGTGCAGGGCTGCCATGCCTGGGGGGACAGCAGGTGTTAGCCCTGGCCACGGGAAGGGCTCTCCACGCTGAATGCACAGCTCAGGAAAGGGGTGCAGGCGCTCTCCTTCTCAGGGAGAGGACTGTGGGGAAAGAAACAAAGACTGAGAAAGCCAGAGGAGCTGCCGTGGGTTCCTGTTGCCCTTCTGCAGCACAAATACCCTGTCTGGGGTGGTGCAGCACCCAGTGCCCCAGCTAGGCAGGACAGAGGGAGGGAGGAGGAACTGCAGAGCAGCTCCCTTAGAGCAGCTGCTCTGAGTCCTGGACAGGACTTGCACGGAGACACGAGAAGAGTCTCTGGCCTTGTGCTCTGCCTGAGTTTCGGAAGCTCATCACTAACGAAGAATCACTATGGGCAGAAAGAAGCCCGGGGTCATTTGAGTCTCCGTCTCCATGGCCCTGTGAGAGCAGGAGCTGAAGCCAAGCACAAGAAAAGGACAGATCTGGGCTCTGCATCAGCCTCTACAGATCAAGGCATTCCATAAACAGTTTCTGGTGAGGCTGTGTGTACAGAACACAAAGCTTTCCCCCAAGTCCCTGGAGTCAGACATACAAGAGGGAGCAGTGCCTGTGAAAAACAGGCAGAGCCAAGAAAAAATGCAGATCCCCCAGGCAGGGGAAAAGGCAGGAGCCCAGGGTGCTGCCAAAGCTCACAGCCTGTGCTGGCTGTCACCCTTTGGGGTCCCACTGCGCTGTGGGTGCACGATGGTGCCGTACAGGGGGCCAAGCAGGCGCTGACTCTGCTGCTGAGGGGAGATGTTGGCCCCGGCCTGGGGCTCTGGGTCCCTGCTGGGCCCTGGCTCGCCCCAGTTCTGCTGAGGGAAGACGTTGGGGCCCCGCTCCTTGCTGGTGAGGGCCTGGCTTGCCCCAGTGCTGCTGAGGGCGGCCCACAGCCCAGCCCCGGTGTCCCTCACAGCCCCACCGAGCTGTGCCGCCGCTCTGCCCCGCTCTGCCGACCAGCAGCACTCACCAGAAGGGTAGATGGTGTCCAGTGTCACTTTCCTGGCCCGTATGAACCTGCCCACCTGCTCCAGGTCCCCCTGCTTGATGTGGTCCTGAAAGACGACGTCGTTGGGGAAGTGCACGGTGCGCGAGGCCCTGAGGCGCGGTGTGTACCGGCTGTACCGAGGTGTGTACCGGCTGTACCGGGGCACCGTGGGGCAATAGTCCCTCATGCTGACGGCAGCCTTCAGGCACAGCGGCATGGGGGCTGCTCAGCACTCAGCCCGGCCCCTCACTGCCCTGCTGCCCTCAGGGGCTCTCCTCGCTGGAAATCCGCGCCGGCCCCGCCGGGGTCCGTGTCACTCGCCGCAGGGAAGCGGCCGCCGTGCTCTCCCGCACTCCCTGAGTCACATGCGGGAGGTGGCACCGGTACTCGCAGCTCACCTACAGGCCCTTGGCCCAGGACTGATGATTCTCCAGGAGCACTCCGTTATAAAGACTCCCCTGGGCTATTTTGGGGACATGCAGCTCATGCTACTTGCCATGATGCTTCGTAATCGAGCCGCCCAGGCCTGCAGCCTCCCACTTTTGGGCAGAAGTCGGTGTCTCATCTTACCACCCACCTGTTGATATGCCCCCTCAAGGGGTCAGATCTACTCTTGCATGGGTAGACCTTCAGGGAAGCCTGGAAGCAATTTCCCAACATCAAGCCCTTCTGGGGAAAGGGGCATGGGCACAACCAGCAACGCAGGGCACCGGCCGCTCATGTGCCAGCTGGCCAGTGCAGTGTGGGTGTGCCAGGGCTGTGGCCACAATCACATCCAGAGCTGTCACCCTCCTGTAGCTGCAGGGGACAACTTGAAAGAACAGGAGGAGCTGTGCTGCCCAGCACAACTGTGACAGCACACAGCCCAGCGAGGAAGCACAACCTGAGTGTCTGATGTCCCCTGTGCCCTTGCAAGGACAGAGGTGCTGCTGGTGATCCCAAGACAGGTGCAGAACCAGAAGCCTGCACTGCTGGTCCCTGGTGCTTCTTGTCCCACTTGAGACAGGAAAGCAGCTGCTGCTGAGGGCAGGCTACTGCAAGCAGCCTTAGAGGAACAGCAGAAGAACAGCACCACCACCAGACAGCTCCTGCCTCTGGTACTCTCCACCTACACTGTAGTGACCCAAAACAGAACCATCTGCCACAGAGGAATCATCCAGGTCCATCAAAGGTTTAAGCAAGCTCTGTTTTCTCCCATCAAATTTTGGGCATGTCAGGCACTTAAGCACTTTGTGCTCTGTCATGCTGATGGGGATTGTTCTGGCAGGTGTGTCAGAAAAAAATCCCTGTGCTGCTTTAGGAGTCAGGGGTTTCACTCATGCTGCAGACCCCTGCCCTGACCAAAGCAGCACAGTGAGCCACACACCTCAGAACTCCTGCACTTGTTTATTTACTGGCAAATGCATCAATCTCTCAGCCAAGCATCTGCTTTGTGGTTAGCTGAGCCTGCACACAGCACAGGGCATCCAAGCTCAGCACTGGGGACAGAACACTTCCAGCCTGCTTTCTTGGAACAGCAATTAGGCATGTACATCAAATGGCTGCTAAGCTCCAGCTCTGCCACAGGGAGCCCTGTGCTAGGAGAGCCACCTCCTCTAAGCTGGGCACAGTGGGTCTCTGCCCAGGAGGAGAGCCACTACAGAGCTCAGACTCTGTCGCTGTTCAACTGGCTGTGCAAAATAGACCTATTGGAGCCAAATTCTAGACAGCACCTTTCAGTGGAACTTCAGATTCCCTTCCTCCCCACTCCAAAAGACAAAGCAGCTGCCACCAACCAGCCCAGGCCACCAGCACTGCTGGGTTTGCTGGGGTGCAGCAGTGGCCACGGCCTCCCTTCAGTCTTGTGGCCCTGGAGGGAGGAATCTTCAAAGGTCCTCCTCCATGTAACTGCAGGTACAGGTCTCGCACACACCTGGCTGCTCTGGCAGGGACAGCCCATCCTCGTCCCATAGTGTGGGGGTCTGCTCAGCCCCAGCCCTGGTGCTGCTGTACCCAAAGTTTGGGAACATCAGGGCTCTGCTGGGGACTGGCAGAAGGCTGGAGCTGGAGGCAGACACAAGTGTTGTCCAGCAGCCCTGTGCCACTGCTCCAGCACACATCCCACCCGCTGAGACACAGAGGTGCCCCCAGTTGTCCTCTAGCCTCACCATGCCCTCCCTGTGACATTTATAGCATATTTTCTAACCAAAATACCTTCAGCAGCAAGCAGCAGGTTTGGAAATAGCAGCGTGGCTCACAGGGTCATGTGAGCCTGACTAGCAGAACTGCAGCAGCCCTGGCTCACTGCTCCAGTCCCCTCAGCCCAGCCAGCTGGCCCAGGGGCTGCACACTCTGAGAGCCAAGCCACGGCCCGCTCACTCCCAACAGAGCACCTGCACCAGCCCATGGAATCCAGACAGGACACAGCACTGGGATGTTCTTTTCCTTTACTAATTACTTGGACAAAGTGACACACACCCCATTGCAGCAGAGTCCCTTGAGAATCATCCTACAACTCTGATCTCCCCTTCCAGGGTAGGTTCAAATATTCTACACTCTGATAAAGACAAGGAGACATAATAGTATTAAAATCTCAACTTTATTTGGCCATCAAATTCAGTACCAATGTTATTGTAGCAGAATGCTAAGAACCAGCCTGATGCAGCTCAGGCCTGTGAGGCACTCCCTCAGTCACATTCCCAAACCCCAGTAATTGCAAATGTCCTGTTTGATCTGTTTATCAGGCCCTCCCCCACCACCCACCTGCCGGGTCAACCCACTCAAAATAATTCATGAAAGGGATTGCAACTCTTGTCTTTGATCAAAAGGATGTCAACACAGCTGGTGAGCCAGCAGCCACCTCCACCCTCAGAGCCTGCCACAGCCAGTGCACACAGTATTCCACCCCTCCAGGAGTTTGGAATAGTCATCTCCAAATGTCTTAAAGGAGAAGCGAAAGGAAATGTCTGGCTAGCGTGAAGAGAAGCCCCTTCACATCCACCTTTCCCCAGGAAGCCATCAGCCTTCTGCCCCCACATATACTGAAGGCCAGCTCCAGGGAAGAACAGCTGACACCATTAAGGACCCTGCCAGGTGCAGAAATCAATTAGGGGCTTTAGTTTTAAAAGAAAAAGAGAAAAAAGCTGTCTGGAAGATGTTAGTGGCAAGGCTCCAGATTGTCAGGCTACTGAACTCCTGGTACCACCTCACAACCTCCTGCTGCCCAGAAGAACAGAGTTCTCCAGACAAAAGCTGTGTACAAAAAAGTACATCACAATAGAAAAAAGAGCCCAGCTGGCTGGGCTGGCTCCCTAGTGACAGTTCCCTTTTCAAAAGCCAAAAGAAAGAAAAGGTAAGTGTACAGACAAGTGAGGGTAAAGTGTTACTTTAGAAGCCAATCCCTGGATTTCCAGTCATTTACCTTCCGCTTTAAATCTTAATGGGTTTCTGACTCACTGGGCTGCATCACAGCAGCCAATTTAGTGTCTGATTTTTTGGGTGATGTAGATCAGTCTTCTCTTTACAATTCATCCTTTTGGAGTTTCTGCTCATCCTCATCACCTTCCTCAAGCTCAGTTTCTTCATCCATCTCCAGGTCCTCTAGATCCTGTAGAGGTTACAGACAGCTCCTGGTTTCTGGCACACGAGGCAGACCCAGAACCAAGCACTGAGCAGCACCCCTCATCTGGCCACTGCTCTCTGCTGCCCTGCTAACAAAACATCCGGAGGCTTCTATCAAGGGCTTCACATTCAGGACATTAAGGATTAGGAAGCCCTGGAAGCTGGCAGCTGTACTGGCCTCCACACACCCTCCCTTCCCCAGCTGGTGAGAGCTTCCAAGCACACACAGGTAAGTGGCACTGATCACACAGCCCAACTCCAGGTGCTGAGTGCCCCAGCAGTGCTACCTGACACCCACAGGGTGCTCTCCAGGAAAGGAGCCCACTGCAGGCCCAAAGCCACCTGAACAGATCACTGATGTGGGCACTTTGCTCACCAGCAATATGCTCTCCTGACATGTAACAACACAGGATCTTATTTAGGACTGTGGATTCAGGCACAGAACCATGCTCCCTGTTCCCAAAGGTCCAGAGTACTCCATTCACGTTACTCACATCATCAGCTGCTGCCCCATCCTGACCTCCGCTCTCCAGGAATTTTTTGAAGCCTTCTAGTGTCCTCTCCCCATTATAGTCAATTACCTACACAGGGAAAACAAGGATGCTGGTTATGGGCACTACAGACCCACACCCCTGTAGAGGAGAATTCTCTTTCTGAGCAACAGTGAACATGCCAAGCAAAAGGGAATTTAAAAATTCACCTTCACCCATATGAGACGAAGGAAAACAGCTCAGCCACTAGACTTCAGAGATCACTGCGAGGAAAGAATAGCCTGCAGATGAGCACACTGTCCTCTATGCTCCCTCTTCTCCCCATTCCCACTTCCCGCTGCCCCCCAATCTCTTTCCCTACGGCCCAGACCCCACAAAGGGTCTTGGGTGTCCTGTAGACTTGCTGTGTTCCATCCCCACAGAATGCAGATCCCTCCCACAGGTCCTGTCCAGAACGCCTGGAGCGAGCAGCGAGCGTGCCGTGCTCCCTGGCTAGCAGCTGCCAGCCTGGCTGCCTGCTTACATTTCTGCCAGAGCCTGCAGGGAAGAACTTGAGTGTAGGGAAGCTGTGGATTTTCACTGCCTCCACTTCATTAGCCGTCGAGTCCATCTTGGCAATGACAATGTTCTCGTGGTCCCTGTAGGTTTCTCCCAGCTTGTCCCAGATTGGGGCCAGCTGCTTGCAGTGACCACACCATGGAGCATCTGTTAATTACAGAGACACAGCTGCACCAACACCAACAATCTAACGAGGCACCACTCCTCCCCAGCCAGACAGTTCTCACACATCTTTGCAACCAAGGCACTGCTTTTGGGGCCCAGGCTGCAAAAGGCTTTCCCCCTAATCCTGGTCACACAGTGTTTTGGCAATCCTTTCACACCAGTTGCTTGCAATCAGCTGTAGAAAGATACTCACAGAACTCCACAAAGACATTCTTATTCTCATCAAAAGCAACTTCTTCAAAGTTCTTCCCAACCAGAACTTTGACAGGCTGCTTGTCCCAGTCTTCAGGAAGATCCTGACTCATTAGGTGGGGCTGGAATAAAAAGTGAAATTCAGACAAACTGTTTGCTACATAGCTACTTGGACCAATCATGCAATCACACATCCTGGAAAAGCCAGGTTTCACCACCCCACTGGTGCCTCAGTCAAAGGCTGTAAGCAACCAGATGAATTGGTCACTTCCTCTTCTTCCACAGAGTCTTGTTCCCACCCTGACCCAGCAGGAGTAGCAGGGGCTGTTGAGCAGAGAATGACACCAGAGCTCTGCAGCAGGAAAGCCCCCAGCACTGCTGACAGCCCCATTCCCACAGGACTGGGCTTTGCTGCACCCTCACTGCT